GTGTGTGTGTGTGTGTGTGTGTGTGTGAGAGAGAGAGAGAGAGAGAGAGAGAGAGAGAGAGAGAGAGAGAGAGAGAGAGAGAGAGAGAAAGAGATTTATCCTCAGAATACCAGCAAACAGCGCACTGATTGAATAGAGGATAGAGCGACCGAGCGAGAGAGAAAAAGAGAGAAAGAGATTTCTCCTCAGGATACCATAAAGCAGTGCGTTGATTGAACGGAGGTTAGAGCGAAAGAGAGGGAGACAGACAGACACAGACACAGAGAGAGAGAGAGAGAGAGAGAGAGAGAGAGAGAGAGAGAGAGCTACTGCGATTTCTCCTCAGGATACCAGCAAACAGCGTGAACGGACGTTAGAGAGAAAAGAGTGACCTAGCTGCAGGATTTGGGTATGCGTACGAACTTTCTCGGTTCTTTCGCATTGAGGGAGTCCTTCAAAGACCAGTGACCACCATCTCCACGGCCATGTGCTGACTTGGGTGATCGTCAAGCACTACATAATCCCACGTGTCCTCTAAGAAGATGCCACGTGTCTTGTCAGAAGCACTAAATAAGCACTACATGATGCCACGTGTCTTGTCAGAAGATGCCACGTCGATCCACGCTGCCAACCGGAAGCAGTCAGACTTGCCACGTGGCATACGATTTGCCACGTGGCATGTGACTGGCCACGTGGCCGTCGTCTTCGTCATTCACGTCACGGCCGCGCGTGCCCTGGATACCCGTCATCCCCCGAAAACAACGCACCCTCATCATAACCTCAACGGACGGAAAAGACCATTCATAATCAGGGTGCTGGGAAAAAAAAAAAAAAAAACCAGGCGGTTTTTTTTTTTGGAAAAATGTTCGAAATGCCCCTGAAGTTTGCGTTTATTTGCGGCGTGCCCCGCTGACGGCCGACTTACCTTGTCGCGCCCCTCTGACGACGAATGATGTTTCCATAAAACCCCTGGCGTCGTTTGGGCCTGAACCATGTTTCATATGCCCCTACCGGTACCAGCACCAAATTTTCGGTATGCCCCTACCAGATGGCCGTTGAGAACCAGCACAACAGTTTCCCATATGCCCTTATTGGTACCGTCCATCTTTCCAGCGAGCCCCTGTGGCCGTTGTTGACACTCGCAGTCTTTCCCCTGGCCCCGGGAGAGATGCTACCGGGGCATATCAGAAATTTGGCGATGCGCATGGACACACACACACACACACACACACACACACACACACACACACACACACACCACACATATACACACGGGCACACACACACACACACACAACACACACACACATATACAGGCGCGTGTGCATGGGCGATGACGCCAAGAAGACAGCCATCGTGATGGTGATGGTTAGGAGGTCCACAATCGAGGAGGAGGAGAGGGAGGGGTGACGAGGAGAAAGTTGGAGGGAGGAACGAGGGAAGAGGAGGGAAGAGGAGGAAGAGGATGGAAGAGGAGTAGGGAGGACAAAGGCTATGAAGATGACGGACGAGGATAGAGGATGGAGAGGGTCCGCCAATCCCAATTGCAGTCTTCACAGGGGCACGCCGCAAATAAACACCAAACTTTTTTTTTAAACACCAAACTTTTTTTTTAATCAGGGTGCGTTATGTTCGGGCGAAGAGCGTCCCCGACAATCCCAATTGAGATCCCACTCGACACCCCTAGCAAGGTTTCTACCAGTGGCATCAGGCCTCGCTCCACTACTCATCAATACTCACCAAAGGTGCAAAAAGGGGATAGGTGAGTCTATATCTTAGTTATGCTAGAGATAGAGGTAGTAATCATTGTGTGTGTGTATGCACCCAACGATGTGGGGGAGAGGAGAAAATTCTTTACAGGTTTGAAAGCACGCCTCCCCGTCAGGATCAATGCAGCCCCAAATCGCCATCTTGATCGCTGGCACATCCCCTCCCCATGCCCATCATACATAGACACTGATGAATGTATAATTGATGAATTATGTCAAACCCTCAATCTCTTTGATGCATATAGATGCTCTCACCCAGTCAAACGCACTTACAAGTGCTTCATAAAAAGTCAGACAATAAAGGCTTCAAAATCGAGAATTGATATAATATTGTTGTCAGAAGAATTACAAGGAGCACTGCAAGTAGCAGAGATCTTCCCGCGTTGTGCACTCCCAGGTTTGGATCATGCAATGTGTGTTGCGATTCTGTCCTTCGGGAAAAAAACAGACCAGGGCAGAGGATTTTATAAGTTGAATACATCATTATTGAGTATAGAGTGTTTCAAGGTATATCTAAAGGATGTCTGGTCGTTCTGGAGAGAACAAAAAAACAACATCAATAACGATATACGTTGGTTCAACAACGGTCTACTATTCCTTGGTCGTAAATGCAATGAATATTCTAAAGTGTTGGTTGCACAACGTCATATGGAGGAGGCAAATTTACAGAATCAACTTTTACAACTTCAAAAACAAGAGGAGGAATTAAAGGACGACTCACAATCAACAACCATTACTGAAGAAATCAACAATCTGGAAGCTAAGCTACTAACTTATATGGAATAGAGATGGTAAGGAATTCGCATCAGAGGGAAGTTATCTCAATACAACACGGAAGAAACAATGGATGCAAGATTCTTCGCCAAAGCTAAAGTAAGATCTGATAGAACAATCATTGAAGCACTTACAGATCCATACGATGAACATCACTCCTTAGTATCCTCAACGGCCGCATGCACCCATATAGCAAGGGAGTATTATAAAAAGCTTTTCACTTCTGAATGTAAAAGTTTTTCAAAAGCACAGAGGATGAGAAAAATAGATGAATTTCTCCAGCCCCTTACTAAATCCCTATCTGATCTACAAAGCAGTGGACTAGAGAAACCGCTTATGAAAGAAGAGATTTGAACTACTCTCATGATGATGAAAGAAGAAAAAACACCGGGCATTGATGGTCTTCCCAAAGAATTTTGGGAAGTAATGTGGACTCATATCTCTCAAGATCTTATGGAATTTTACAAGGTTGTTTGGGATTCAGGGAACATGGGAGAAATAGTGAGCCAGGGGATTCTAACTTTATTGTATAAAAAAGGGAAAAAAACGAATATTCGTAATTATAGGTCAATCACCCTCCTCACTGTTGTTTACAAATTGGTTGCTAAAGCATTAGCCAATAGATTATTGAAAGTGATTACTGAAATTATTCATTCATCTTAAACATGATTTATTTTAGGAAGAAACATTCAAGACAATATTCTGTTGATTAATGAACTTGTGAAACAATCAAGACAATCAAGAAACAATGTCACATTCATCTTCATAGACTTTGAAAAAACACATGCATGAAGAAATTTAATTTTGGGCCTTGTTTTAGGAGATGGGTGGAGATCCTACATACAAAAGCCACGACGAGAGTTATGATCAATGGCAACCTAGCTCCTCCCATTTCACTCGAGCGATCGGTGTGACAAGGCGACCCGATAGCTCCTTATTTCTTTGTCATTATGATGGAGGACTTAGCAGTTAATGTAAGAAAAAATAAGGATATCAAACGTATCCAAGTCGCTTCAATTCCAGAGGAGGCCATTCCAGTATGTTCCCTTTTTGCTGATGACTTGTTCTTGATGATTGATGCCTTGGAGGAAAATATGAGAGCAATCAAAAATGCTGATCCCCCCTTCATCCCCAATTAGAGTGTTGGGGGTCTCCCTGGCAGCGGAAGGAAAGCCAACATCTAATAATAAATGGATCGCATGACCGGTTCTGGCAAAACTGGAAGTATGGAAAGACAAACAAACTTCCCTGATAGGTAGATTGTTAGTTATTAACAATGTGATATTAACTTCTCTTTGGTACAGGCCTTTAGAAAAACCCGCTCTCCAAGGCCTACAAAAGCAAGTGACAGCCTACTTATAGAGGGGGAATCATGAATACAAGAATGTCACCAGCCGAGTAGCCTGGCAAACGGTGATCCAGACTAAATCAAAGGGTGGATTGGGTATCTTGGACCCAAACACACAAACTCTAACATTGTCTATCCAATGGATTAAGAGGTTACTCTTTAACCCACAAACGTCGTGGCAGGCGCTGGCTTGGGAACAAATTACAAGATTGGCACCAGAAGTCCCGGATGGAACAGATCCTATGATATGGTTAGAAAATCGACACTGGTCACATAAAATGCAAACAATAAGTCAATTTCATACAGCAGGGCAGCAAGGTTAAATATCAAAAGGGATCCTTTCTGGCCTGATCAACTTAAAAACATGGCGAAAGCTTCCACTCCCCAATAAATGCCCTCCAAACAGATGGGAAGAGGTGTGCCAACAACCTCTTTTCAATAATAGATGGATCAAGGACTCTCAAGGGTGTAGTCTACATTGTCAAGATTCTCCATGGAAAGGATGGGTTAAAAAAAAGTCATCAGACTTGGGGATATTTGGTGTAAAGATTCTCCATTATTCAGATTCGGCACCCTCACGGTGGCATGTGTCAGGTTCGGTGCCATTGAGACAATTTATTGGGGACACTATGGCGGCTTATTTAAGGTACGCCGCCGCCACGGCGGCTTATTTCAGGTTCTGCGGCTTCGGGATGATTTATTTTCAAGTCTGGAGACTGCCGCGGTGGTCTGTCTCAGGCCCGGAACCTGGACGGCAGGTTATTCCAGGTTCGGTGCTATCACAGGTAATTAACTCAGGCCCGGCACCATCACTGCGACCATCTGTACCCGGTTTGGTACCACGACGCCCAGTTGTTGACCCGAGGACCCGTAATGAGCCTGTGCTGGGCCTGGTACCGACGGTCTCGGCAGTACAAGCAAATGTGGAATGAATATAGGGGGGAACAGAGGAGAGATGGGGGAGAGCATGCAAGGTGTACYTGGCCCACAACATCGGAGGATCCGAGTAGGTCAACGGGGAGGGGAGCAGCATGCAAGGCGTCCCCCGCCCACGTAGCAGGCACAGCGGGAGTGAGAGACTGCGGGAGAGAGAGAGAGTGAGTGAGAGGGGGACTGCACACCTRGTCGGAGTGACCAAGGCGACCGTTGTCACAGCAGGGGCGATGACCAAAGGGACAGCAGCGCACAGACTGTGACCGCAGGGAAAGCAGCGCACGAGTCCGTGCTCGTTCATGGGGCGCTGGTGCTGACCCGGTGGTTACAGTAGATGATGATGACGTCAACAGACTGACGCGCTGGTAATCGAGCATCGGCAGCTACATGTAAGTTGGCAATAAGGAGCTATTGTATCTGCAACTCTTATCCACTCACCTGCCCCACTATCCCACACTTGCAGACTGGGCCCGTAGAGAAGGGAGGACAGTGCGTTGGAGTTGGTGAAGCGGGGGCGTGCTTGAACACTGCTCATTTACTGTGTGTGAGTGCGTCTGAATGGTAGAGAGGGGCTGCATATGATAGAGTGGGACTGAGTATGAGAGAGAGGGTCTGTTCAGAGTGAGAGAGAGTGCA